CTCTATTCTCTATTCTCTATTCTCTATTCTCTATTCTCTATTCTCTATTCTCTATTCTCTATTCTCTATTCTCTTCTATTTCTATTCTATTCCTGTTCTCTTCTCTTCTATTCCTATTCCTATTCTTTGTTCTACTCTATTCTTATTTCATATTCCTTTCCATTCTCTTGGGTTTCCAAAACCTGAGAAGGTAACCCAGAGGGGAGGGGGATGTTTCCCTTGTCCCAACCAAGATCATATTTTTCTCTTCCACTGTTTCATTTCCTTTAAAATCCAGTGGAGCCAAAGGAAGACCAGTTTCCCAGGGTTTTGCAATGACCCCTCCAGGGACTGACAGACAAAGTCTGGATCAACATGGCTTCCAGTCCACCCGTGTGCCCAACTGCTCCCTCCGTGCCAGTCTGCAGAGGCTCCTGCCCTCCCTGGGCCAACTTCAAGGCCGGCAATGCTGCAGGGAAGGCTCTTCAATTCCCCCCAGAGGGGAAGACGTAAAAAAGCAACAAGGAACCAGAAAAGGGCAGAGCTTGAGTTCCAGGCAAGGGTTTTGCTTGCTCTGTTCAAGACAATAAATAGCTATTTCTCATGGAAGGCGCAACACTTGTGCTACACAAGAGGGGCCCCGGAGGATGCCTGGCACCCCACTCGAAAGGACCCCACAAAGCTGCCTCTGCCTGGTGAGTGTTCACGCCCAAGAGGTGCAGAAGTCCAAGCATCATCCTCTTTGCTAGCATAGTTGGCTTCCTGGCTCACTTCCTAAATTGGTAGTCCACATTTGTCTGCTTCTTCTGGAGGCTAACACATGTGAGAATGGTTGCAGGAATTGGGCGTGTCTGGTTTAATGGAAAGAAGGACTGGGGGAGATGCGTTCCAATAGTTGAGGGGCTGCCACAAAGAAGAGGAAGGGCTCCACCTCTTCTCCAAAGCCCCTGAAGGCCCGGACAAGAAGCAACGGATGGAAACTAACCAAGGAAAGAAGGAATTGAGGAGAAACTTCCTGACAGTGAGAACAATAAGCCAGCTACAACATCTGAAGCTGTTCCATCACCGCAGGGGGATATTTAAGAGGATTTTGGACAACCATTTGTCTGGAATGGCATAGGGCTTCCTGCTTGAGCAGGGGTTGGACTAGGAGACCTCCAAGGTCCCTTCCAACCCCCTTATTCTATTTTTCACTTGTGAAGTTGCCCCTTTAATCCCCCCCCCCCAAAGCACATGGCTGTCCCTGTGAGACAGGAGCTGCCCGTTTCTTTTGAAGCTCTTCCAAGCTTCTGCTGGAGAGGATTTATTTACAGGACCAGCCCGTAGTTCAGCCTAGAACAAGATTTGCATCGTATCTTAGGAGGCTGAGAATGAGAAGGTCCTTGGTGCTCTCTGGGCTTGGCTGTTTTCTTGCAGATGTTTCATTGTCAAACTAGGTAACATCATCCAGTGCTAGGAAGACGTGGGATTTGCAGAGAGGTGGAGAAGGAGAAGGAGGAGAACAGTGAGGTCTATGGGCTTGTTTTCTTGAAGACGTTGGTTGTATTCAGTGGTAGATTACAACTGATGATGTGAGTTAGTGTGGGTCATGAAACGTCTTTGAGAAAACAACTGAGTTCAGAGAGCATCAAGGACCTCACTGTTCTCCTCCTTCTCCTTCTCCACCACTCTGCAAATCCCACGTCTTCCTAGCACTGGATGATGTTACCTAGTTTGATAATGAAACATATGCAAGAAAAGAACCCAGCTCAGAGAGCCGCCCTCATTTCAGTCCTGAGCTACGAAGATTCTGGGCTTCCTGCAGCTCTGAGCTTCCTCGTCCAACAGCTGACTTTCTCAACTGAAAGCCACAAACAGCCAGGCATCCCGTGAATTCCACCCATAGCTCAGTGCACACATCCTGGAGAGAGGGACGTTCCCCAAGGCTCCAATGCAGGTCTGAACATCTGAAAGCTTGTAAGACGAAACCTCTGGTCCCAATGACCAACTTCATCCTCTGCCTCTTCCTCTGCTGCCATTTTTTTTTCCTAGAAAAGGTTTCTATGTTTTGCTCTTTATATACATTTATAGGTACACATTCACATAGTTATTCTTTTTTACATTCGTCATTCTTATGCATTTGTTGTTCCATTTACAGGGTTACAAGATTCCTTTTGGATTGCTTTCTTTACCATCCCTTCCACCTGTTGTAACACCACCTTCCTTTTCCCTTTCTTTTCTCCCTCCCTCCCTTCTCTCCTTTCTTCCTTCCTCCTCTCCTTTCCCTTACTTCTTCCCTTACCTCTCCCCTACTCCTCTCTTCCTCCTCCCCTTCCCACCGCCTCCCCTTCTCCCTTCCATCTTCCTCTCCTTACCTCTATCTTCCTTCCCTCCTCTTCCTCTCCTCTCCTCTCCTCCTGCTGTAGTTACACGTATCATTAAATAGGTATCTTCTTTCTTATATTTCCCTGGAAGGAGACCCAATAAAAATGCCTCCGGTCTAGCCTCCATCTTTTGTCTTCCTCTGTTGTGATTGACAGGTGCTATGATCTTCAGTGAAGCTGGTGGTCAAAGGGATTGGTGCATCTTACATGATCTGAATGATGGGCAACCTGACATACACCTGGTCCTTTACCTTTGTGTTGCAAGGCATCCCAGGGCTGGAGGAATACCACCTGTGGTTCTCTCTGGCGGTTTGCACGGGCTACGTGATCACTATTGCTGGGAATTCTATCATTTTACTAGTCGTAGTATCAGAAGCAGCCCTCCATAGACCCATGTACTACTTCCTCTGCATGCTGTCCGCTATTGACTTAGCAGCCACGACCTCTACGTTGCCCAAGATGCTTTCCATCTTCTGGTTCCAGGCTGGGGAGATCCAGTTTAATACCTGTTTGGCCCAGATGTTCTTCATCCATGCTTTGTGCATGATGGAGTCAGCGGTGCTGCTGGCCATGGCCGTGGATCGCTACGTGGCCATCTGCTTCCCTCTCAGGTACAATTCTTTCTTCACCGGCTCCCTGGCTGCCAAG